TCCTCCCTCTCTGATAAAGTCGTTTTTCGGTTAAGTCCCTCCCCCCGCGGCGTGCTGGCGTGTGACTCGGCGTGCATCCAGCGGTAGCTGCTGCTGCTGAGATGAAGCGATACGATAAATGGATTTATGATGAAGCACAAATTGTTTAATAATTTGGCCTCTTTCTGATTGTCCTCTCGCCGTCGCCTGGCTGCCGCCGCCGCCGCCGTACTCGCTTTAATACGCAGCAACAACAACAGCCAAGTGCCATCTGTTGGCATGTGGATTTTCTGTAATCTCTCTTTACTGATTACAACAATGACTACACAAACCTCTTAAATAATTATCCTACAATGTAAAAAAAGCCAAATAATTATAATCATTAACTCCCACCAAGTCTGCCACTCCTCCAGCAAATGAAGGCTGTCAGCGAGAGAGCGAGCGGCGTTTTCTGCCGCGATGCCAATCATGTCTTATTTATACCAGCAGGGAAGAGAACCGCACAGCAGCGACAATCTCAACCCAACAACGCCGGAGAGGAAGCTGTGGCTAAATTGACCCGTCTCCGCCCTCCGCCCTCTCTGCTCCATCACGAGGACGGGTTAGTGCTCGCCTCGCGTTAGTGTTTGACAAAGACACGGCGAAGAGGACGGCGGCACAACACGGTGCTCTAAAATGAGCCTCAGGTGAACCACGAACCTGAGAATCTAAACTTTAAATGGTTTCACGTCCACTAAAGAACAGGAAGTGATGCGTTTTTAAACTGGAACGGCAGTATGGCGTCGCAGAGGGTGAAACTACCTCTGACTGGCTGCGTGTTAGAGCAGCAGCTTTGGTGTGTGTGCGTCTATAAGTCATCGTGTGTGTGCGAGCTTTGTGTGAGAAATGGTGTGAGGATACGTCAGGGTAGCATGTGTTAGCTCTGCTTCCAATATGAGGGAAATCTGTGGCACATACCTCCGATATGACACAAGCCAACACGCCGTGACTCACCGCGTGCTATATTTGATTAATCAAAAACGTGTTCCTGAACAGCGCCACGCCACCAGCAGCATGTACGCTCCGCTACATACCTGCTCCTCTGATACATGAACTTCCAGCTTTCATTGATTAGCGCTTTACCACCAATCAATTTTTTACAAACCGTCCTGACCCTCGTCCCTCCCTCGGCTGCGCGGGACGCCCCTCTCTCTCAGGACGAAGGTCTTTTACAAACAAAACGAACACGGAGAGTAATTATGAGCGAGGAAGAGGAGGGACGGCGGGCAGACAGGTATGGATTTAAAGATGAATGTGAGCCTCGGAGAGAGAGAGAGTCTCGTTTCTGCGATGATGATGATGATGATGACGTGCTGATTACAGACAACTGGGAAGGATGAAGCATGCCCCCCCCCCACACACACACAGTAACAGCCCATCACGGTGAGGGATGGGGTGGCCACGCTCATCCAGCTCCAGGAATAATGGCTCGCACCTGTTTACCGTGTCACCTCTGTTTGCTAATTGTCTCCTTGAGCTGCACAGAGAGGAAATGACAGCGGCGTGGCTCTG